GAGGTCTGGGCTTTTCCAGTTGGGACGAGTGAAGAGGGAGGCCAGCTACTTCCGTTCAGAACACAGGCTTTATCCCGTCTTGCTAACACAAACACTGCATGTGGCCTTTGATGCCCACTTAAGTGCATTAGAGCCCTATCTATACACTTAGAGCTGACTACTGTCTGGCTGCATGTAAAAGGACTCTGCTCTGTGGGGCGTGCTTCTCGCTCTCATACTCCTCACACTGCGAATAGTACATTACCTATACGGCTATATGTCTTAAAGGGGAATGCCTGGCCACAGTGGGTACCTCCTCTGCCATAGCTTGCTAGCTTTAGCGGTAACACGTCTGCCTGCAACTGCAGTGCCTTGTGGGAGACTGTTGGCTTGCACTTTGCACGCAGAGTGCGTGCCAGTAGGAAGTAGGTTGACAGGCAGGTAGGCCATCCAATGGTTTTGCTTGGGAAGAGTAAAATCATTGATCAGGCATCTTACAGCCCTGCTGCTGCCACAGATGTCAGTTCTTTTTCTTTATGTGGTCAGTGCATTTAATGTATTCATTGCCATAAGGATGAAAAGAACAATTCAAGAAATGTAACAAAAAATGCTTCTGAAAGGAATCACCAACCCAACCTTTAATAGCAGGACTGGGAACTGCCAACAACTGCGACACCGTGATTTCATTTTCTCTAATTAGCCAGAAAACTAATACTTATGTTAATATCTTGAACACTTAATGTACAAATAGGAAAATGTTCCTGAGGCAGCCTCACAATAAAGGTGTCCCAGTTTATTATGAAGCTATGCAAGAAGTGCTGTTACGATCAGCAACTGCTCTGTGCATCAAGATTAGCTTTTCCGCTGCAAGTGAGTGAACAGAAATGGCCTGGGCTCCCGCTGCAACAACACTACTGAGCGACTGAGTTACTGCTAGTTGATAAAGGCAAAACAATGCAGAAGGGATTTCTGTGCTGCTGAAGTTGAGGGAGCCATCAGAAAATGTGCTCTTACTCATTTCTGCCTATGTTCTCTCACAGCATTTTCAGCTGGCTTTGATTGACTCCAACCCCTGCACTTTGTCCAAAGCTGAGAGTAAGCATTACTTCATCATACAGTATATATTCAATAAGTATTTGAGATGACATGCTGACTTGTTAATAAGAGTTAATGGATGCTTATGAATATTATGGCTAAGAACATAACTTTAAAGCTATTTGGAATGATGTCTGACAATTTTTTTTCTTTTCATTGCATATTACATTATTTATTGCAATATGAGTCTTTCTTTGACTGATGGTGGAATGAAAAAGTCTCCTGTATCTCCTCTGGCTGTGTAAATAAATAGCATCAGGGAAACCAAACCATCTTGTTGTGTTCACCATCTTGTGTACAGTGTTAGATTCTGGCCAGCTGCTGGGGTTCAGTCTGGGTACTGGCATTATTTGATATGCTGCTGTCATCTCATCTCTCCCGCCCTGCTACCTGTTACCTTGGTGACGGCAATATTCATTTTTGCTTTCTTGCTGTTTGCCTTTGCCTCATTGTTTTCCCTGTTATTCCTGTTCACACACATACACACACATGTAGCAAGGGCAGCCCCCGTCTTTCTTCCCCTCTCTTTCGCTCTCTCTCCCTCCTCTCTCTCTCGCTCTCTCTCCATCTGCTGAGAGTCACTCAGGCAGCTTAGATCAGACACTGCAGCGCTCCAGACAAAGGAAGGTGCCGCCAGGAGCACAGCTACCTATCTGGTCTGTTCCACTTCATGTAGACAGGCAACCTTGGGTTTCTGACACCTATTTATTGACAACACAGCACTACTTTCCAAAGACTTGAAAAAACTATGAGGAGGACTAGCTCTGAGAATGGGTAGGAAATCTCTCTTAAATGCTAAATAACCTCTGCCTAACATGTTTGCTCTTCTTTCTTTTTGCAGTTCAGTTCCACATTGCTCATTTGTATGAGATTCAGGTGAGTGCGTACTTTTTAAATTCAACCTGTGCCTCCATTATGTTTGCTTCCAAAAGCACAAGAGATTTCTTTTTCTTTCTGTTATTTGTAATTGTGAGAATAATTGCTGCATATTGATTGAATTTCCAAAAGCAAGGGAGAATGCGTGACCCAGCTACCACTAAAACGTCACAGGGCATCTGAATGCCTGGGATAGCCCTGTTTTTTGTATTTGGAAGCAGGTGCTGACATATTGAGGAGGGAGCAAGGTGCATGAGTGGGTGGCGGGGCGGGAGGGGATAGGAGATTACTCTCAGCCGATCGACGGGGTTGCCAAGGAAACAAGAAAGTCTGTCTCCCCCTCTTTTGTATGCTGGTGGTCCCTCTCTCTCTCTCTCTCTGAGTAGAGAGGTACAGTAGCTCTTGCCAGCTCTGGGAGCAGCCGCACTTCACGACTAATGAGATTTATTTATTTTGTGCTGTGTCAGAACACTGTGCTGCACTGGGAGTCTCAGGGGTTATAATGCATGCAGGTAGTTAGAAGCAAATCTTTGAATGCAAATGCCTAATTAAAAGCAGCGGTGTGGGGATCTCCATCATGATGAGTAGTTTGGTTTTGCCATGCTGCACATGAGGATTGAATAAGAATCCATGATGGTACTTGACCCATTTTAATTTGTTTTGGTCTGTCTCTCCTCACTACCCTCTCCTCAACCCAATCTCTTAATCTACTGGTACGTTCCCTCTCCCATTGCTCCCTTTGGCCTCCTCCACTCTCCATATTCAGAAGAGATACCGAGCTGCCAAGGAGGCCTACGAGAGCCTTCTGCAGACTGAGAATCTCCCTGCACAGGTGAAGGCCACTACTCTGCAGCAGCTAGGTAAGATTGTGCACAGACTTAGTCTGGGCCATGTCCCTGGAGATTATAACCAATATTCAGACATGTTCTCTATTAAATGCACATTTGCACTGTATGTTGACTTCTCCTCTTCCTTGTTCGATCAACTGATTAATCTGACATTTTCCAGGCTGGATGCATCACACAGTGGAGCAGCTCGGGGACAGAGCCAGTAGGGACAGCTATGCCATCCAGTGTCTGCAGAAATCTCTGGAGGCTGACCCAAACTCTGGACAGTCCTGGTACTTCCTTGGCAGGTTTGTCACTCGCATGTGCACACCACGTCTAGTTAGAGACATAAAACTTTGTCTGTGATGGGTCTCTGTATACAGTCTGCTGCTCTGTTGTTTGAAATATACTACCAATATTGAGAGCCAATCTCCTGCTATCCGGGTCAGTCTTGTAGGAGTACAATGCTAAAAGTACTCTTTAAGAAAATCCTTTATTGCAGAACTCTCTTCTGGTCCGCAGAATCGCTATCTATGAAATCATTCAGTAAAATGGCAAGAGTGTATGGTTCTGCATCTTAACTGTATCATCTAGTGTGTGTGCGGGAGCAGAGTTTCATGATCTCCTCTATTGGAGGCTCACTTTCCCATACTTGGAAAAACCCCTGCCCTAAATGTTCGTTAATATATTTGATGTTCTTTCAGTGTTTCTTGTGTCTGTAAGCACAACCTTGATGGCCTGTGATTCCTGCAGGTGCTACTCTAGTATTGGGAAGGTCCAGGATGCCTTCATCTCCTATCGGCAATCCATAGACAAATCAGAGGCCAGTGCAGATACCTGGTGCTCTATTGGGTAAGGGTGGCTTTGTATTAGCTCTCAACTTAATGTTCACTTTTCAACAGTGTGAGACCGTAGACAAACATTGTCATCTTTAAGTTTCTGAATAGATATTTTGGAGCAGCCAGTATCTTAACCTTTCTCTCAAATTCTTTTTAAAAGCCATCTATCCATTGTGCCTTCAATCGCCCAAATTGACCATTGTCCCCCCACCTCCACCCCTTCTCAGGGTGTTGTACCAGCAGCAGAACCAACCCATGGATGCTCTGCAGGCCTACATTTGTGCCGTGCAGCTGGACCACAGCCACGCCGCCGCCTGGATGGATCTGGGCACGCTGTACGAGTCCTGCAACCAGCCCCATGATGCCATCAAGTGCTACATCAACGCCACACGCAGCAAGGGTTGCACCAACATTGCCGCGCTAACCCATCGCATCAAATGCCTGCAGGTGGGTGGAGAGAGGAATTAAAAGCAGGACATGCCCATACAGGAACTGTTTGGATGCAGTATCAATTTGATAGTCCCATATTCGTATCATATGTTACAGTATGCTTTAATTTAAATGCATTTGACAGGTTGGGTCCACCTGTAAAATGTGGCTAAAGTAGAAGCAAAGTGAGCCTACCACCATCATTGCTCTTTCCTGCCTTCTACTGTTCTTTGTTCGCGTCTCTGTGAGACCACGACTTTGTTGAATCAGTCCATGAATTTCTCCACAGGGATGTGATTATTCTATTAGGCTTAAATGACGTTTTGAATGCAGGGAACTGAAATCCTCCAGGAAAAACAACTGTAAACTGTAGAAAAAAGTCCAGGAGGGTTCTGGTGGCATTTAAATTTTTGGAGGATTTATGCCTCCCATTTTTTCGAGACCTTAACTCAAGCTCAAGTTGTGCTGCCTAATATAACAGGAAGAGGAAAAATAAACCTTGTAGCTCCCCTGGGGAGTAAATTGTTTTATTTTATGGATGAAAACTTATTAAACAACGCCCTTATTTTTTCATACCTTTAACAAATGGGGTTCTAACAATCCAAATATCTCATATGTTAATTTATTCATACCTATTTTTGTCTGAGCAATGTCATTTTCCTTCACATATGCATGAAAGAACGTTGCATTTCCACCAGTTATGTTAGCATAATTTCATGGCATTAAGACAAGCCCAATGGCTTGTTTTAATGGACTTGTGACTGTGTTTCGGATTACTCTTGCTGAATGTCACTCAAGTACCTCCTTGTGTGGTTGATACTGTACATGATGTAGGCATTTTTGCCAGCCAAGACACAGGTTTGCATATCAACTTAGCTTCACTTGTGTTTTAACCTCTACCTATTTATCATTGCTGATCATTTCCTTGTTTTGAGGTCATCGTTTCTTTTTTTTAAGCCTTGTGTTTTATTTTATTTTTTTTGTTTGTTTTTTCACGTCGTTTTCCATTCCCCTAGGCTCAGTTGAGTAACCCCCAGCTCAGTAGCCTACAGGGTAAAAGTAAAATGCTCCCTCTTATTGAGGAGGCATGGAGTCTACCAATCCCAGCTGAGCTAACCTCCAGGCAGGGAGGCCTGAGCAGTGCACCACAGCAGGTGAGAGACCAGATAGAGCAACTTGCACCCGCCTCCTCCCCCCTCCCCTCCCCTTTGACTTGAGTGCACACTTAAACACATATAATTGTAATGTATACACCGACCTACCTGCAGGGCAACACACACGCATGCACTGTTGTACATATTGATGGGTAACACTTGAGCTTAGCTCCACCCTTCCACACAGTGTGTGTGTGTGAATGCAGATGTCTAAATAAGCCAACAGCATGCACAAAAACGTGAGCGCCTGATGGAGAACTTGACTTCATTATAACAGAAACTGAATAACAAGTCATTAATCATACTCTTGTTTTAATTGGCTACTGAGTCCATGGCTGCTTTATGACATCTGTTTTGAATGGGGAGGGTGCACCCAAGTGTTACCCAGTCCTGCAGTCCCTCTCTTCTCCACTGTAGGCTACACGAGTTGCTCGGCTTCACCCATCACGCTCAGTTCAAGTTAAACAACAAAATTCAGTCAACAAAGCACTTGTGCGGGCTTTTAATTCTTTCCCAATTCTCCTCTTATTAAGGTTTAATGTGTTATTCAAGATTAAAACCTTTACAGTTCATTGACAAAACCAGTTTCCGGTGGCAAACTTGGTAAGTCTGCACCTGCACTGTTTGCTCTTAATCTGCTTCAGTTTAGACTGGGAAAGAGAGACTCCCTTTGTGAAGCGAGTAAAGTGCTGTCATTCTAACTGGCTTTTTCTCATTCTCTCACTTTGGCCTTTTTGGCTCTTGACCCTGCCCCCCTGTGTGATCGGTGAGGCCGTGCTGCCATAGCGTGCACCCAGGCTTCCCATTGGCTCTGTCCATCCTCCTCCTCCCTCTCCCCACCTGTCAGTAGATGACCTTAGATGTCCTGTAGCTGCTCACAAAGCCCCCGCAATGCCCCCTAGTGTTCCACTACCACCTCACTCATTCATGCCCATCATAGATAAGAGTAGTTCTGTTGTGCTCATGTTTGTGCGTGATCATTGTTGTATTATTGATGTATTGCACTGGATTATGTTGACTTGAGCTGGTCTCACTTGGTGAGAGTCACTTCACTGTAGAACATATTCCAGTATGAATGAGCATAGAAGAAGAATATGATGGATGGTTAAATTTTAAATGGGTCAGATGTAACTTCATGTCTTTAAACTTATAAGAGAAAATTATACTTGATACACACATATATAGAATTTTTTTTGCTGTGCCACTTTTTTAAGCAACGTATATTCTTTTGCTCTCTCGGGAAACATTGAGACGTCCAAGGAGTAAGTGGGGTAAATGATCATTCAAAGCCTTATAGTCTTTATATTTAAGAAAATAAGAACTTTTGTTCAGCTATATCTGGCTCCCTTAGTGGTAATGATAAGGCTCCCTGTGTCTGGAGAATGTGTTATAACCTTTTGCTCAAGGTCGAGCTGTGCTTCTAAACAGCTGTCGCTGCTGTATATTGTCTGAGAGTGCAATAAGGAATACACAGATAAATGACAAAGATTGTTTGAGAGCTATGAGCTCTGCAGGTGTTGAGGTGAAGCAGTAGTGGTGAATTGACCTGGGGCCGTTGTTGGCCTTTGAAGCAACATGTTCAGATAAACAGGAATGTTTTGTTTTACATGTCCTGCTTGTTTGTTCAAGCACCCACACAAAATTACAGTTTCTCTCCTTTTTTTCCTCTTTTCTTTATTCTTTGTTCCCTGCTTCTCTTACTTGCTGTACTTTTTCATCATTCCATTTTTTTTTTTGTTCAATCCCTTTCCTTCTTTTGTGGCCTTTTCATTCATCCTGCCATTTATGTGCCGCTCTGGGGATAACTCACTTGAAACAGTTTAAGCTCTGAACACTCCTACAGTTAAAACTCCTTTCCACCAGTTTCCTCTGTACCACCATCATTGCTCTTTCCTGCCTTCTACTGTTCTTTGTTCGCGTCTCTGTGAGACCACGACTTTGTTGAATCAGTCCATGAATTTCTCCACAGGGATGTGATTATTCTATTAGGCTTAAAGGACGTTTTGAATGCAGGGAACTGAAATCCTCCAGGAAAAACAACTGTAAACTGTAGAAAAAAGTCCAGGAGGGTTCTGGTGGCATTTAAATTTTTGGAGGATTTATGCCTCCCATTTTTTCGAGACCTTAACTCAAGCTCAAGTTGTGCTGCCTAATATAACAGGAAGAGGAAAAATAAACCTTGTAGCTCCCCTGGGGAGTAAATTGTTTTATTTTATGGATGAAAACTTATTAAACAACGCCCTTATTTTTTCATACCTTTAACAAATGGGGTTCTAACAATCCAAATATCTCATATGTTAATTTATTCATACCTATTTTTGTCTGAGCAATGTCATTTTCCTTCACATATGCATGAAAGAACGTTGCATTTCCACCAGTTATGTTAGCATAATTTCATGGCATTAAGACAAGCCCAATGGCTTGTTTTAATGGACTTGTGACTGTGTTTCGGATTACTCTTGCTGAATGTCACTCAAGTACCTCCTTGTGTGGTTGATACTGTACATGATGTAGGCATTTTTGCCAGCCAAGACACAGGTTTGCATATCAACTTAGCTTCACTTGTGTTTTAACCTCTACCTATTTATCATTGCTGATCATTTCCTTGTTTTGAGGTCATCGTTTCTTTTTTTTAAGCCTTGTGTTTTATTTTATTTTTTTTGTTTGTTTTTTCACGTCGTTTTCCATTCCCCTAGGCTCAGTTGAGTAACCCCCAGCTCAGTAGCCTACAGGGTAAAAGTAAAATGCTCCCTCTTATTGAGGAGGCATGGAGTCTACCAATCCCAGCTGAGCTAACCTCCAGGCAGGGAGGCCTGAGCAGTGCACCACAGCAGGTGAGAGACCAGATAGAGCAACTTGCACCCGCCTCCTCCCCCCTCCCCTCCCCTTTGACTTGAGTGCGCACTTAAACACATATAATTGTAATGTATACACCGACCTACCTGCAGGGCAACACACACGCATGCACTGTTGTACATATTGATGGGTAACACTTGAGCTTAGCTCCACCCTTCCACACAGTGTGTGTGTGTGAATGCAGATGTCTAAATAAGCCAACAGCATGCACAAAAACGTGAGCGCCTGATGGAGAACTTGACTTCATTATAACAGAAACTGAATAACAAGTCATTAATCATACTCTTGTTTTAATTGGCTACTGAGTCCATGGCTGCTTTATGACATCTGTTTTGAATGGGGAGGGTGCACCCAAGTGTTACCCAGTCCTGCAGTCCCTCTCTTCTCCACTGTAGGCTACACGAGTTGCTCGGCTTCACCCATCACGCTCAGTTCAAGTTAAACAACAAAATTCAGTCAACAAAGCACTTGTGCGGGCTTTTAATTCTTTCCCAATTCTCCTCTTATTAAGGTTTAATGTGTTATTCAAGATTAAAACCTTTACAGTTCATTGACAAAACCAGTTTCCGGTGGCAAACTTGGTAAGTCTGCACCTGCACTGTTTGCTCTTAATCTGCTTCAGTTTAGACTGGGAAAGAGAGACTCCCTTTGTGAAGCGAGTAAAGTGCTGTCATTCTAACTGGCTTTTTCTCATTCTCTCACTTTGGCCTTTGGCTTCCCATTGGCTCTGTCCATCCTCCTCCTCCCTCTCCCCACCTGTCAGTAGATGACCTTAGATGTCCTGTAGCTGCTCACAAAGCCCCCGCAATGCCCCCTAGTGTTCCACTACCACCTCACTCATTCATGCCCATCATAGATAAGAGTAGTTCTGTTGTGCTCATGTTTGTGCGTGATCATTGTTGTATTATTGATGTATTGCACTGGATTATGTTGACTTGAGCTGGTCTCACTTGGTGAGAGTCACTTCACTGTAGAACATATTCCAGTATGAATGAGCATAGAAGAAGAATATGATGGATGGTTAAATTTTAAATGGGTCAGATGTAACTTCATGTCTTTAAACTTATAAGAGAAAATTATACTTGATACACACATATATAGAATTTTTTTTGCTGTGCCACTTTTTTAAGCAACGTATATTCTTTTGCTCTCTCGGGAAACATTGAGACGTCCAAGGAGTAAGTGGGGTAAATGATCATTCAAAGCCTTATAGTCTTTATATTTAAGAAAATAAGAACTTTTGTTCAGCTATATCTGGCTCCCTTAGTGGTAATGATAAGGCTCCCTGTGTCTGGAGAATGTGTTATAACCTTTTGCTCAAGGTCGAGCTGTGCTTCTAAACAGCTGTCGCTGCTGTATATTGTCTGAGAGTGCAATAAGGAATACACAGATAAATGACAAAGATTGTTTGAGAGCTATGAGCTCTGCAGGTGTTGAGGTGAAGCAGTAGTGGTGAATTGACCTGGGGCCGTTGTTGGCCTTTGAAGCAACATGTTCAGATAAACAGGAATGTTTTGTTTTACATGTCCTGCTTGTTTGTTCAAGCACCCACACAAAATTACAGTTTCTCTCCTTTTTTTCCTCTTTTCTTTATTCTTTGTTCCCTGCTTCTCTTACTTGCTGTACTTTTTCATCATTCCATTTTTTTTTTTGTTCAATCCCTTTCCTTCTTTTGTGGCCTTTTCATTCATCCTGCCATTTATGCCCCTTCTCTCTCTCTCTCTCTCTCTCCATCAATTCTTTTTCTTCCATTTGCATTTCCCGCCATCCTCTCCCTTCCAGGCCTGTAAGCCCAATCACAGTGCAGAGGGCGGGGCCCCAGGCCCATCTCTGCCCCCTCACGTTGGCTCATTGGGCCAAGCAGAGGACCAGTCGTGCCCAGCCAAGAGGAGGAGAGCCTCTAGCCCTGCCAAGGTAAACAGTGATACATCACTGTGCTGCTTTGCTCTCATAATACTCATTTACAGTCATGCATTAAATAGTGTCCATAAGTTGATCTTCACATCTTAATTGTTATGGGTTTCTTTTCATCTTCAGGGTGATTCGTGGGCCAGTAATCCAGCACAGCAGCCAGTTCCCGGCTGGTACCTCTCACCACAGAAATTACAGGTAGGTAACACTTCATTATCTCAAATGTGACTTGATTTCTGCTTTCTGCCATTAAAGAAGAGGCCGCATCCAGTTTCCAGTCTTTCGTAAACTATGGGTTTTGTTGCTGTCTGTGTCTTCAGATGCTGGAACAGCTGCGGAGTAACCGGGCCAGCCTGAAGCCCCCGCAGCTTCAGATGATGGAGCAGCTGGAGGCTCAGCTCGCCATGATGCAGCAGCACCAGCACCAGGTAAAAGTCTGTTGGAGACACTCACACTAGACTTGGGTCAACGAGTTGTATCTTGGTCTGAATCAAAGAATAATGTACTTTTTTTAAAATTGTATTTATGAAGTTGTAGTGGTGCACAGAGACGTTAACGTGTACTGGGTAGGTGAAACCATGATGTTAGAATAAATAAACCCATTAAGTCTGAGAGTGTAAACACTGCATGGTTGATGGTCTTAACAGTAGTATTCAGACCTGACTTCTCATGGTGTGTTGTTGTATGCATAGGCCTTAAACTGTAGTTATTTGGTACATACAGTACTGTAATACAATCAACATGTAAGAATGTGAATGTCAATTAAACGTGATCTTCTGGCTGATGGTGTTTTAGTGGCTCACCCACCTGTTCCTCCAGACACAATAATTTATAGCCGCTCATTTTAAAGCTATAACTTTGTGTTATACTGGCCATATTTTCTTTTACAGATGAGACAGAATGCTTCAGGAGGTCAGGTGCGCCCCTCTCTCCCCAATGGCCCCACCACCAACTCCCTCCCCCCCCCCAATCCCAGCCTGCATCCCACCCGGCCCCACCTGGGACCCCACCGGCCCCTGTGCCCGCCTCAGCCATTGGCCAACGGGCCTGTGGGCCCTGGGACACACAGACCCTCGGACTCCCTCCCTGTGGGTGATAACAGTAATAGTAATAATCAGCCAGGGCCCTCAGCCACAGGACCCAACGGAGACGTGCCTTACCTGCAACCCGCCGGCAGCGGCAATGCAGCACTGCTACCTCACACCTGCACAAGCGCGCAAACACAGGACGCCACACCGCGCCAGGCCCTGCACCTAAACTCCTCTCAGGTTAGACATCACTCACTAGCCATCTGTTTTCAGTGCTCCTCGCAGAGCTTCCACGTAACCTAAAATTTAAAACTCCCACTGGCAAGTCATCCATTTCTCAGCTAAGAAATGGATATGTGTTTAATGCTGTTTCAATCCTACTGACCTACTTGGCTCAGCTGGTTAAAAAAACATTGAGAAAATCCATCAAGTGGTTTCATGAAAATCCCACACACACACACATCCCCAATTTCTTGAGCTAAAAGATGTACATAACTTATTTTATGGTCCAATTTATTACATTACAGCATCTTAATCCAAACAAGAATAATCAGCAGGTGTATAAATACTTGCAAAATATTGTAAACATACTAAATAATGGACAACAGTTTGACTTGTGCTGCTCCTTTCTTCTTTCAGGCGCTTCAGAAGGGGTCTGTTCCACATGTGACGGGTTCCAGCAGTGAGGGGACCCCCTCCCACCCCCAGACCCCCAACTCCACCAACCCTGTGCACCCCAGCAATCAGGTTGGACATTCCACGAACGCCCCATCGCCACAGCAGCAGCTTCACAACCGCCTTCCATCCCCTCCCTCCCTCCACCTCTCCTCTACCTCAGGTGGAGCAGCACCAGATGCGTCTGCTACCAAAGATAGCAACACCACAACTGCACCCCTCGGCAACGGAGGCTCGGAGGGCAAGACACCATCGCCACTGGTATCGGTTGATGGCAAAACAGCACAGGTAGACGGCCTAGCCAATCACGTCCACTCGAGGGATGGCGGCAAGGTGGCAGAAAGTGGCGAGAAGCAAAGCCTTAGCGCAGACAATCCTAGACTATCTGCCCTGCTGGCAGGGGGGAAGGGCCTTGAGGAGGGTGAGGGACCTTCACAAGGGACTGCATCCACCACGCCTGAGTCCCACAAGAAAGTCAACAACATCCACCCGGCTGTCTTGCCCTCCACTCCCCACACACAGGGCAGCTCGGCTGCCTCCTCACCCATCTCTGCTATGTCCACTGCAACACCTTCGCCCAAATCTTCAGAACACACCCAGACAGGTGCCCACAGCCCTGCCACCACCACATCTACTGCACCGGCTGTGAATGGAAATGGCAAAGGAGGCATCTCTGAGGACTCTCAAAGCCCACTGAAGGCTGAGCCGCCCATCATTAGCAGTGTCAAAGCTACACCTCCACATGGACACAGCTCCTCCTCGTCATCTTCAGTATCCATCTACCCCAGCTCCACAGATGTGCTGAAGGCCTGCAGGTGAGACTGAACTGCCTCGTCGTTTCTCTTTCACATCATCATGTTCTGCAAATGCACTGAGGCAGTCTCCTGCCAATCCTGTTCAACTCCTCTTGGCAGGAGTAATGGTTTGGGCAAGAAATGTGCTTTTGACAAAAGCAACATAACACTCAGGTTAAAGGTGGCTGCTTCAGCTTCAGTGTGTCTCAAGTCTGAAAATGGGTACACCTCATTCAGTAGTTACTGCACATAGAGTCTACCTTTTGAAACCTATTTACTCAGACTACATAATGTACATGTAAGGAACAAAGGCCATTTTTAAAATAAGACATAGAAAAGATAGCGGTATCATTTAATTATATTCTTGCATGTTTGACAAAAGGGCCTGAAATCAGAGCAGGGTCAGTTGAACTGTATGGTTTGTTTTGAAGGTGTCTCCTCCCAGTGGAATTGCAGGGGAACTACACAACCAGAGGGAAATGATTATGTAACTGTAAACAACACTGAAGGCCACTGGGCAGTCCTGTTGCCATGCAGATATTATTCAGTTGAACAGATTCCTCCATTTGGCTCCACTTTGTTTATCAACTGGAAATGACTTTATCCCTGTTTTACATCACACCCTCTGTGTTTGTTTATTCGGTTAAAGGGGCAAGTAAGAAGGAGGAGGAAGTGAGGTAGCAAGTATTTCTTATTTCTCTGTCAGTAGTGTTCTGTGTTGGATAATGGATATTGAACTTCAGTGCTTTTATGGCACCAATCAAATTACTTTAGTACCATCGGGTATCAAAAAATGCTTTTCTACATTTTTCTTTATTGATGTCGGCTTACAACTTATGGTTGTGGTAAATAGGTTGAATTTTTATGTTATGAAACTGCTTTGAGTGGACAAAAATGCCATGGAATCGAAAAAATGAATCTAATGACCTGGACCGAAATGTGTACATTTATTTATTCTTTTTTTTTTTGGTTGAAACTGGTTTTAAAAATTTCATATTTAAAAAAAAAAGTATTGTTTAGTAAGTAGTATCAGTGTCAAGGTATCGGTATCAGTAATTTTGGAATGTTACCCAGCCTGAGTGTTGGATCACTTGTGCTGCCATGACTACAAACAGTCTCTGTGTTCTGTATGTGCAGGAACCTGGGAAAAAACGGCCTGTCCAACAGCAGTATCCTCCTCGATAAGTGCCCCCCGCCTCGGCTGCCACCTCCACCCTCACCAGCCCTGCCCAAAGACAAGCTCAACCCTCCTACACCCAGCATCTATGTGAGCCTTACATGAAGGAGCACTTTGGAAATATACATTTCTATTTATTTCTTTATTTTTGCCCGATCAGGGAGTCTTATTGTTGCTCACATTCACTGTATGATGATATTCATTGCTCTCATTTCTGTCTGTGGACCAGCTGGAGAACAAGAGGGATGCTTTCTTCCCCCCACTGCACCAGTTCTGCACAAATCCATCCAATCCAGTCACTGTCATCAGAGGACTGGCTGGAGCTCTCAAACTGGGTGAATGCATTGCTGGGGATATTATGCTGCATAACACGGCAAAAAAAAGCGTAATCGTATTTTGCCATTACATGGGACATTTTCTTTGAAACCTAAACAGTGCTGTCGATTTCTCTGCAGACCTGGGTCTGTTCTCCACAAAGACTTTGGTAGAGGCCAACCCCGAGCACCTGGTGGAGGTCTGGACTCAGCTCTCTCAGCCTGCTGATGAAAATTGGGACCCAACCGGCACCAAGAAAATGTGGCGCTGTGAAAGCACCCGTGCCCACACCACCATCGCCAAATACGCCCAGTATCAGGCTGCTTCCTTCCAGGAATCACTACGGGTCAGTTAGGCTTTATTTGTGTTCTCTGGGCTTCATTTACACAAAGCATATTAAACGTTCAAGTTTAAGCAAAAAAGCATTCAGTTGAAGGAGTTATACTCGGTGTGGTGTTTGTTTTCAGGAGGAGAATGAGAAGAAGGCACTGAAGGAGCCCTCGGACACAGAGCCAGCATCAGCAGAGAGGTAGCCTTTAGAAAGGCCCCATCCTAGAATTACTGATTGGTTGTTATTAAATTATATAACTCACTGAAATGATAAAAGTAATAAAGAAACAGAGTATGAAATATGGTGTGCATTTTGCAATGGCATCAGATCTTTAGGTCAGACATTATTTATGATGTTACTCCATAGAACACTGATACAAAATTAAAGCCATTTGTTGAATTTTTCGCCATCTAGAGTTTTGACATTTAAACACAATTTCAGTTCAAGGTTGGGATTTAAAAAATGGAAGACAAATATGATGTACTGGACATAAATGAAACCTTGGTTATCAGCTACTAATTAATATTTATGTTTAGCAGTCCGCACACCTGATTTTATTGTTGACGATGCATTCAAATTGGAATCGATAATTAATGGTTCCTTGTCTGAATATCATAATCTTATGTTTACATCAGCCAAAGAATTAAACACTATGCAACTTATTTTACACTTTAATGTAGTATCTTTACCTTTCTATTAACTAGTGTAGCCTGAAATTTATTTTTAATGTACCACCCCCCAAGATTTGCACTGGCCCCCAACAAAATATTTTCTGCAGGCCCCACAGCCACTACCTATCTGTTACAGTGGCCCCTGTCAGTGTGTGGGGTATATTAGGCAGCAAGTGAACATTCAGTCCTCAAAGTTGTCGTGTTGGAAGCAGGAAAAATGGGCAAGTGTAAGAATCTGAGTGACTTTGACAAGGGCCAGACTGTGATGGTGATGACTGGGTCAGATCATCTCCTACACTACAGGTCTTGGTGGGTGTTGTTGGTCTGAAGTGGTTAGTAGCTACCAACAGTGTCTAAGGAAGGACAAATGGTGAACTGGAGACAGGGTCATGGACGCCCACAGCTCACTGATGATGAGGTTGACCTACTGTAGATTAAAGCTTTAACTTCCATTTGTACTTTTCAAAAGATTAAAATGTATTAATGTATTTGAATCTTTGTTAAAATGGTTGAAAATGAGAAACACTGTCCATTGGTCTCTATGAAGAGAAAGAGTCAGGGGCTGTAGTGGTGATATCACACCTAGAGTGGTGAGGCTGTTGGATTGGTCTAAACAATTCTCTATAACTCGTCCTCACGACCACAGTTTTCACTCCTTTTACATAAGTTTTTCACTCAGTTGTGGACACATCTGTGCTCTTCCTGGCAGTTTAACTATGAAACAAAACAGATTCACAGAAAATGCTCAGTGAGCTGCAGAGTGACACGAGTGACAACCAACTGCCACATCGACTCCTGTGTGAACAGTATTAGGCAGGCGGTCATAATAATATGGCTGATTGGTGTATATTGATTGGCACCCCTCTGTTTCATGCCCCATTTTCACAGAGTTTGTGCTATTGTTGCGGCTAATTGTAAATTCTTTCTTTATTGTCAGTGCTGCACGCAAAAGAAGGGGACCCTTAAAGCACATCAAGTTTGGAACCAACATCGATGTGTCGGATGAAAGGAAGTGAGTTTCTTTGACCTGCCATGTCTTGAAACGTTTTAAGTCTTTGAGATGCTTTGGCAGTTTTCAACTTAAATACACTTTGATCTTATAATGATTCCTTTTTCCCGTCTCGTTGTCTGTCAAGGTGGAAACAGCAGCTCCAGGAACTCAGTAAGCTGCCAGCCTTTGCTCGAGTCGTGTCAGCTGGTAACCTGCTGAGCCACGTGGGCCACACCATTCTGGGTATGAACACGGTTCAGCTCTACATGAAGGTCCCTGGGAGCAGGATACCAGGTGGGTGCACTCGGATGTGCTTTCTGGGACAAATTATTACTGGTATGTAGATTTGTGGAGTGAAGAGGTTGTGTGTTCGTCCCCTCAGGTCACCAGGAACACAACAACTTCTGTGCCGTCAACATCAACATTGGACCAGGAGACTGTGAGTGGTTTGCAGTACCAGAGCCCTACTGGGGAGTGATGAGCAACTTCTGTGAGAAGTAAGATGAACTGGAGCCTGTCGTGCTTTACCTTCATACTGTATCTCTGACTCCCTTATAGCCATCACAACTCACACATTCCTCCTCCTCATCAGGAACAACATCAACTTCCTGATGGGCTCCTGGTGGCCCAACCTGGAGGACCTGTACGAGGCTGACGTGCCCGTCTATCGGTTTATCCAGCGCCCAGGCGACCTGGTGTGGCTCAACACCGGCACCGTGCACTGGGTGCAGGCCATCGGCTGGTGCAACAACATCGCCTGGAATGTAGGACCCCTCACAGGTACGCAGGAAATTATGGGATAGAGCTTCATGTTAATCGTACTCCAGACAGTCACAGACACAGTGAGGTCAGTTTTTTTGTGTTTTGTTTTGTAAGTGTTGTATTTTGCTTTGTGTTTTTTGCTTACAGATCTTAAAATCTTTGTTTTTGACCACTTGAAGCAACAAAAAACTATTAGTTTATTATACATGTACTGGTGGGAAGGTGTCTGCCAAATTGCAGCCCTGTTGAACAGGAATTTTATGTGATGTGGTGACCTTTGCTGTGATGTTTGAAATGCTTTTTAGCTGATTATTGACCTTTTTAACTGATTACTGAGCTGATTACAGGGGGATTTGTTTTTCTGTCTACACCAAATTCCTTTCAGACACATTTTTCTTTCACCTATAAGACTTCCATATGAATCAGTACACATATTTATATTGTCTACCACACTCCAGCTTTTGTTAAAGGACTCAACATAATCTGGTTTCATGTACATTTAACTCGTGATCTGTGCTTTTCCAGCGCACCAGTACAAGCTGGCTGTGGAGCGTTATGAGTGGAATAAGCTCCAGAGTGTCAAGTCCATGGTTCCCATGGTGCACCTTTCCTGGAATATGGCACGCAACATCAAAGTGTCTGACTACAAGCTGTTCGAGATGATAAAGTGAGTCGCGGGACACTTCACTTCGAGCAGCTTCTTTGTCGTGTTTGCTATGTGTTTACCTGACACAGGTGGATTTTTGTCCTAGGTACTGTTTGTTGCGGACGTTGAAGCAGTGCCAGCGGGTGAAGGAAGCCTTGGCATCAGCTGGCAAGGACACAGTGCTGAGACCGAGGACCAGGGACGAGCCGGCTCACTACTGCACCATCTGTGAGGTCAGTAGAGCGCACCAGGAACATTTCAGCATCGGGCGTGTGAATTTTAACAGGATTTCACATTTTTGGAGCTCACACTTAGTTTGTAGTGGAAGATAATTGTCTCATCATGTTCCTGCTCACATTGTGAATTATACTCAGCACCCTGGGTTAGAACCAAATGTATCAGGAAGACAGTGGTATGGTGGTGACGTGTTGTTTCCACTGCATGTGTGCGTTTATGATGACCAGTGTCATAGTCCCCAGAGAGACTAATCCTGGTAATATAATTAAGTGTTGACCATGAGATATTTGGATTGGTAATTAGTGATGAAAGTAAGAACATCCCGCCATTCTTTTGACTACCTCACTGCCTGTGGCGCAGCTCCTGTAGATGATACTGTATCTGTTGTTCAGCTTCGTTCATAACTCCCAGCTCAGAGTTGTATGTCAGAAAAGATTTAGAGATTATCCCCTTTTAATATTTGTGTATTTCTAATCTGCAGGTGGAGGTGTTCAACCTGTTGTTTGTGCGCCGCGAGCTCCTGTCCAAGCAGCAGTGTGTGGTCCACTGCCAGGACTGTGCCAGGAAAGGCAGTGCCACGCTGGATGACTTTGTGGTGCTGGAACAGCACAGGATGGAGGACCTGATGCAGGTCTATGACCAGTTCACATTAGTAAGTCACCACACTGAGGGAGATATGGACTTAAAGGACTGAAATACATTTATTACATGTATGTGTTATGTTGGTTTAAACATTGAAGGTTATTATAAATACAGGTCTTCTGGAATTAAATGAAACGGTGTGCTATAAAAAGTTTCATTCTAACCAAACGGAATTAGTTAAAAAAAATGTTTGCATGTAATAACACCGGTTTTCTTATCACTGCTATGACACTACACCACAAACTAAGAGTCAGGGGTATTATATGGTTTTAAAAAAAGGTTATAAGCTGACTGGAGGAGGGTGTGTGCCCTTTTAACATGACCGGCTGGATGTCTTAGAGCAGCAGCATATAAAGCCAGGTATACCTGCAACTTGTTAAGTGATGGGAATTTACTTGGTCTGTTGTGCAATGACTCAAGCAGATGAATTCCCTAATTCTCATATCTCATCTTCCTCCCCCAGGCTCCTCCTCTTCATTCATCTTCATCTTGACATTAGGTGACACCTCTTTCTTCTTCTGCTGGCGAGCCATGACGCCCATTCACAGGAACTTGTATTAAGATAATTAAAAAAAAAGAACATAAACATCTACATACACGGACCATTTCTGATATTCAGGAAAGCCAAGGCCGTCCCCACCACCCTCACCACCGCCCATCCCGTATGGCTGGTCTCCATAGCGACGGCTGGAGGCTGAGTGTGTCTGTCTATGCAACCTGTTTTGAAGTGCTGGGGCCTGGCCCTTCCAGAGGGGGGCGCCACCAAGCTCGCTAACAGGACTCATTTCCCCCCTCCTTCCCTCCTCTCTCTGTCCTCTCTAGAGACAATGGTTCAGCCCTGTTTTAATGGAGGACTTCATCAAAAATGGTTGGGAGCAGGGGGATGAGGGGGAGGAGTGATACAAATGATTTGTAGATATTTGTTAACTGTCACAACTGGCAACACCACCCGTAAAGACTACTGACTTGACAACTTTCTCCCCCCTCTCTCTCCCCCTTTTTCTTGTTTTCTATTCTGGCAACAGGATGAAATGTTGGTTTTGATTTATAGATTTCCCCCAAATTTTTGACAGACATGCAATAACCTCAGGCCCTGTATTTTTCTCCACATCGTCTGGTCACAGTGCAGCAGCAGGAGGTAAAATATATCCACAAAAACGGGCTCAGTCAAAATATTTCGCTTTTACTATGGCACCGTAAATGTCTTTTTTTTTTTTTTTTTTTTTTTTTTTTTTATAACTTTTATGTTTTATCTTTGTCTTGTTCTTTTCAAAACAATAACATTTTGTTTGTTTCTTAGGTGAAAAAAAATTAGGGAAAAAAACTAACTAGCCAAGTCACAAAGAAAATGGGTTGCACATAGACTTATGGAATAAAGCTTAATTTGTGATTTTTTTCGTTATGTTTCTAATCTTGATGTAAATTTACACTATTTATAAATACATATTTATTGCTTGAAAATATTTGTTGATGGAATGCTGTTATTTTTTTCCAGAATACCTGCCATTAAATTTGAAGGAGTTTTGTCATTTTAACACAACTCCTTTTACATTTTCTATATATAAATCAAATTGCTTAGCAAGCCTTGTACAGAAATGGACATTTAAAATTGTTTTATTGTTTGAAGAATGTTTTATGATGAGTCAATAAACAAAGTTGTCAAATTACCTATGCGTTTTCATTCACAAACACCACAGCACTGTCATATGATATACAGTAAATATCTAAAGCAACAATACAAACAAACAACTGGGATGTAAACATGGGTATAGTCCTGAAACCCAGCAGACAATGTAGCTGTAGACTGACACACACAGAATCCTACACTATATGCCAGGTCCAGCTCTTACCCAATATCTCAAAACTTTATTTTGACTTAAAAAATTGAATCCTGCCATCCTCAAACTAACCAAGCTACTTTCTCTTTACAGCGGGAGACATTCCTGTGACATTTAAAGCTGCACCTTAGAAGAAATCACATGGCGAGGGTGTGAACTGCATGTGGAAAATGCTGGTACAAAATAACCCACTGATCTTGTTAGAAACCTGTCTGAAAATGCTCTACACTACATGTGAAATATGATTCAATATTGCGATAAGCCTGTATATCATCCTCATGTGTTCGGCAAAACATGGCTGCCAGCAGAGACCCAGTAGCCAGATGTAGCTGCTGCCAGCCCCACAGGATCTACACTGACTACTGAGCAGCCGCTGGGGGGCCTGTGCAGGTCTGAGCCAAAATGGCCGCCGTCTTTTCACATTTTAGCCAAGACAGGAAATGAGGAAAAGAACATCTCACTTGAGAGAATATGGCAAACAAACAGGTACCACATGATATTAGGTGTGTCACTGCTAATGTAACTGACAATACAATTTGTAAAGAAACAAAAACCATGCTATTTTGTGGGAAAGCTATCAAATGTAATACAGATACAAAAAAGATATTATTGCAATGGAAACCCTTTTACGATTGAACAAAAGTAGAGGGAGGGAGGGAGGGTTGCTAACAAAACAACAGACTGAAGCTCTTTTTTTCAGCTGCACCCTCACCCATTAATACTCAGTCAATTTCCTGTGTCGGCAACGTGTGTGAAAAGCTTGTTTGACTCAGATTTTTCATGTAAGATATTGCTGCAGTGTGTCAGCTCCACAGGACCTGTTAAACCCTTCACATATATGTGCTCCCACGCTGAAACCAAGATGGCCGAATGAGCCAGGCTGCAGCAGCGTCCATTTTGACTGGTACAGATGGATGTCAGAAGACTGTCGACCGCCTTTCCTGGAGCGTCTACCTGCTGTTCTGTCAGACAGGAGTCCTGGAAAAGAATGGTGCTGTGATAAGAATCACTTTATTCATATAGGTGAGAAACTGTTTAGAGGACAAGATGGCTGAGTGTACCCCCATGGAAAATTAAGTATCTGACATTTTATATTCAACATTTGAATGCATTTGAAAATAGTTCTAAAAGCTTGGTTCTCTGGCTGTTGTACAGTATACATTTTGCAGCTATCTTTGAAAATGTTTTGCCTCTCCACCCACAAACTCTGACTTTGGTGGAGGTGCACAGGAACAAGTGTGGGCTGAAAATTTGTGATTCTAGGAAACAAGATACCAGTTTTAATGTGCATGTCAGTTAAGATGATGAAGACTTCCTGTCGTCTGTCTGTAACGACAAAGACAGGAAGCTTGAGTTTTGCAATGCAGTGACATTAGTGTTATATAAGGGGGGGCTGGGGTGCACGTTGCAGAGTGTTTTTGTTATTACTTACTAAACTGAGAAAATAGTCATTTTCTCAAATTTACCTGACAATGTATTTTTTATGCACCACTGATCACACAAGCTGTTCAATAGGAGCAAGGCTCAAAAGGTTGGAACAGTAGTTTAACTCTCTTTGTTTTCCACCTATATCCTCTGTGAAATCTGGCAGCTAGCCAGCAGAGAGGTATGTGAACTCTGCTTGGCCTGGACCACCAACCAACTCCCCTTAAATCTAGACCACATAACTGTCTCACTGTGTTGTGTGGGGAAAAGCAAGAGAGGAGTTAAACCAGCAGTGATCAACCCTGCCTCCCTACTCTCTTTCATCCCTTTTTCCTCCAGGTCTCTCCTTCCTGTTCCCTCCATCTCTGCTGTGTGCTCTCTCATTTCTGCTTTTTTGAGAAACTGACCGGTGGCCCTGACTGCTAATTTTAACCAGGCTGATTGTCTGCCTGCCTTTCCCACAGTTATGTATAGATGCTTGCAGTAAACCAAGTAGGTCAGTGTGTGACACTCACATACACACCTATAGATGCACACACACCGGTCCATGACCTCTAAGAATCTTTGACACATCCATTCATCCACTCCCACCTCTGTTGCAAATGGTCTTCCCTGATTGGCTGTCACTCTCAGCCAATGGCAGAGCTTCCTGCTGCCCATTCATAAAACCCAGGGTCATTGAGGATAATGTAGTATTAAGGCACATGCGAAGAGGAGAGGTAACTCTTTTTTTTTGCCCAACACAGTTAATATTGATTAGTAGTGAATTCTGTCACTTAAATAAGGGTTAAAGAAAAATGATAAGTAAGTGCTTGTAAATCTATAGTAATGTTTAGTGTCAGCTGTTTCAACAAATTCCTGTGCATTTTTACCACACAAAATCTCATATCCTTTAAAGTTTGGCTCCTTTCAGCCTGACACAGAGCAGCACATTCCTGTGTGTTTAATGAGTAATGAGGCAAGGGCCACTAAGACAGTGATCATCTCTGGCTGTCCTTCTCTGTCCCTTCATCCTTCTCAGAGGCACCAATACATACATACACACATAATCCTTCAGTTCACTACAGTCTTCTTTCCTTCCCCAGTTATTAACACCCCTGCTAAGTTTGTGACAAATGCTAACTCTTGCTTTCTCCCTAGTTACACATTTCAAGGTGTCACAGAGGGTGCTCTCATTAATACAATCTGAAAAGATTTTTGATAATAACTTGATAAAATGCCCCCATTAAATAGCAATGATCTAATTGATCGTTGATAATAATTTATGATCATTTTACTTTTCCATTTGTTCTGCTAGAACACAGTTGGAAGAAGGCAAATAATGAAGTGTCTGCGCCTCCTTGTTTGTCTTTAGAGCTCCTTTAAACTTGCCTTAAATCTTAACAATTTCTCAGTAACATTATATATTAATAAAATAAAATGACTTTGCCCACTGATCTGAGCTCTCAGTTCGGGGGCTAATGCTAGCTAGCAGCTGTCAGCAGATAACACAAATAGTGCAGATGAATCAGTGTCAGTTCCGTCTGTGCTCAAACTGAACACTAAAATGTAGTTGAAGCATCCACTACTGTCTGTAGCTGAATGGGTTAGTATTTTTTTAAATGAACTTATAGATGTATGGATGTAGTGTGTATCTTTATGATGGATAACAAATGTGATGCTCCAGTCATGGTGCATTTACCCAAAATCCAACACAGTGCGATGACAACTTTACAATCTCTATATTTCCTACATTTTGATTCAGATGTTACTAAATTCTGATTGGTTCACAGAAGTATGCAACATCATAATTCTGCCCATGTCAAAGCAGTGAGAAAAGCTCAAGTAAAACCATTAATCTTAAAATCACTCATGCCCGATAACCAGAACTCTTTTAACTTTGGCAGAAAATTGTTTTCCTGTTCCTCAGAGCAAGATGTCTGTTAAGAACATAGGGTTTCATGGCCTTTAACAGTTAGTGTAATCTGACTTTTATTAAATTGCAGTAATAACATTATTCTTTGTCCTGTGGGGATGACTGTCAATCCCTTTGATGCAAGATAGAGTCTATCTTCTCAACAATGTAATGTGTTGCCTCAGTCAAATGATGTGATGTGAAGCATGTTTGCAATGGGCTATCCAAGATAACAAAAAAAGAGGTGCTACCCATTGCCATGGAAACAGAGAGTAATTAGCACAGAGTGCTGTTCAGAGAGAGAGTGAGAGGTAACATGATTTTGTGTGTGTGGGATGCTGGCCTGCATTCAAGAGATGAGCAATGAGAGGAGAACAAGGAGGCAATGAAGTACCAGTGGCCTCAGTGCAGGTTTCAGGTATCATTACACACCGGCACAGACAGTAACTTCCTCTGTGCTAACTCAAACTTTGACTACTGAATTTGACTGAGACATTTGCACAGCCTGGCAGATTTCCTCAGTGGAGAAGCTTTGCTGCATGTTGAAACAGGGACTGGAAAGCTGGGTTCTGTTGGTCTGGCTCATGCTGCTACAGTCCCCCATATACTGCGGATGCGTCTGTCCATCTGTTGGTCATGTGACATTAGTTTCATTGATTAGGTTTGGGACACAAACTGTACACGGAGCTCTTAATTTTGTGTTTTAGTATTTGACTATAGATGCTCTATAGCTGAACATCAGAGCCTTCTTAGTTATATAATTTGATGTACTGTATCTCCTCTTCAAGCAGGAATTAAGAGTTTCTGTTTTTCAGGATCTAAAAGTCATTATACTTTGCTATAAAATTTGCTCTTCATAAATTGTTAAAATTTTGCATAAAGGTACAAAAACATCCCAGTTAGG